AGAGTGAGTGATGGAGGAGGGAGAGATAGAAGGGGACGGTAGCTGGGAGGTGGTGGTTAGTAGCATCCCTGATATATGACCCCTAAGTTTCTTGTTTTAGTGCTAAAATATTTTAGTGTTTCGACACAAGCAATTGTACTTAATTGGGTTGTCATAGTCATTGTATTTTCAAGCTTTATGCCATATTGAATGCTACTGTCTCTCTCTTTGTTCATCCGGTGTGGAATTGTATTACAACACTATGTGTACTTTAGGTTGTGGTTAAAGAAATTACAGTCTCAAAAACAATCTTTCAAAATGGTCAATGATTGTATTATTATAATCTTTGCTTACTGTATAATTAGAGATGGATGGCGGCCATGAGCTTATTGTGGAAGGCATTTCTATAATATTTGTTTGAATCAGTATTATTGTACATTGCTAATTTTTGCTAGATCTATTTATTTCTAAAATAACTGTTTGAAACTCAAGTTCTGCTTTAAGAAACAATTTCTAGCCCAAAGTGGTAATATGTTGGCTGCATTTGGCTATTGACTAATAAAATCTTTTTATTCTGTTTAAAGGTTTTAGAGAGAGATCAGATTATGCATAAATTTCATGAAGTGACAGCTCGGGTAGAGCAAGCTTTGAGTGGAATTCCCTATGAGAATCTTGACATATCAGATGGAGTTAAGGAACAGGTATAGCTCTTTCAGTAAAAACATTCTTCAAAGAATTCCACTGTACATTCTTCATCTGGCTTTGTCTTACTTGAATTCCAGCAACCTTACCAGGATGAAAGTTCCTCAAGCTATCTCTATAATCATGATTGAGTTTTAATGGAGTTGCATATGATTTAGGGAACCATGGTATGGATAGAAATAAGCATGGAGATGCTCAAATAGAGCAACCAAAACTACCCTGCTCTCAACACTATTAAACTAGAGTTTGAAATTACTAAAGCAACTTAACGTTACTGAATTTCTTACATCATTTTGTTTATTTGAAAAGGCTTTATGTGTTGAATATTTCTATCTTTAGGTGGAGCTTTCTAGCTCAGTTCAGGAGAGCAAGGGTTGATGCCGCAGATGTTGAACTATGTGAGGATCTATTATCACTCCACAGTAGGAGTAGTGATGCAGCAGCAGATCCAGATGGACTAAGGAGATTAGCTGAGAAGTTACAATTGGTGGGGGTAGCTGAACTTACGCAAGAATCACTAGCTCTACATGAGATGGTTTCTGCTAGTGGTGGAGATCCTGGGGAAACATTTGAGAAGATGTCAAACTTATTAAAGAAAATCAAGGATTTTGTAGAAACCGAAAACCCTAATTTGGATGCTTTTGCGAGGGAAAAGAATCTTCCTCCTAGTAGAAGTGGTCAAGCGACCACTGATGGAGATCACAAGACTCCAGTTATACCAGATGATTTCTGCTGTCCAATATCCTTGGAGTTGATGAAGGATCCTATCATTGTTTCAACAGGGCAGGTATATTTTTTTGTAGATTTCTTTCTCATGATCGAGAAATATTTTTTCTTTTAAAATTTTAACCCTCTTCAGCCTTGGACTCTCCCTGCTTTGTTTGTCTGGCTCAGATTTGCTTGATATTGCATCATATCACATTGTCATGCCATTAATTTATTTTGCCAAAGGCTAGTTCTTAAAAGGGTCCTAGTCATATATTTGTTCTCTATTTAAATTGCTTGGAGTAACTGGACTTTAAGATGCAACATTGAATGATGACTAAAAGGCTTTTATAAGAACCTTCTTTTTGAAAATACATGCCTTGTACAATTGCACATATATGCAGTGCCCTAAGTCTCGTTTACCATTACCTTTGTGCTATATTTTTAACAGGTTTATTACTCTCTTCTTTAGACTTATGAACGTTCTTGTATTGAGAAATGGCTGGAGCAAGGTAACGGAACTTGTTGAAAGACGAAGCAGACTCTCAGTAGCTGTGCCCTTACACCCAATTATGTACTGTGTAGTCTAATAGCTCAATGGTGTGAGGCCAATGGTATTGAACCACCCAAAAGACCCAGTAGTTCTCAACCCAATAAAACCACATCTGCCTGCTCACCTGCAGAGCGTACCAAGATTGAAATTCTCCTCCGTAAGCTTGCATCCTGCAGTCCTGAAGACCAAAGAATGGCTGCAGGTGAAATCCGTCTTCTTGCCAAACAAAATGCAGATAATCGTGTGGCCATTGCTGAAGCTGGGGCCATACCTCTCCTTGTGACCCTCCTGTCAACGCCTGATTCACGGACCCAAGAACATGCTGTAACAGCACTTCTTAACCTTTCCATTTGTGAAGATAACAAAGGAAGTATCATGTCCTTTGGAGCAGTTCCCGGTATAGTGCAGGTACTTAAGAAGGGTAGCATGGAAGCTAGAGAGAATGCAGCAGCTGCTCTCTTCAGCCTTTCAGTTGTGGATGAAAATAAGGTGACAATCGGTGCCTCGGGAGCAATCCCTCCGTTAGTGACACTGTTAAGCGAAGGCACGCAAAGGGGCAAAAAGGATGCAGCTACAGCACTCTTCAATTTGTGCATTTAGCAAGGGAACAAGGGAAAAGCAGTGAGAGCCGGAGTTGTGCCAACTTTAACGCGTTTGTTGACAGAACCTGGAGGTGGAATGGTGGATGAGGCATTGGCCATACTTGCAATACTCTCTAGCCATCCAGAAGGTAAGCCTTCCATAGTAGCAACAGAGGCAGTGCCAGTTTTGGTAGATGTTATCGGTAATGGATCTCCAAGGAATAGAGAGAATGCAGCTGCAATTTTGGTTCACCTCTGTGCCGGATATCAACAACATTTAGTAGAGGCCCAGGAACTAGGAGTGATGGGCCCTTTGTTGGACCTGGCACAAAATGGTACAGATAGGGGAAAAGCGGAAGGCTGCTCAGTTGCTTGAGCGCATGAGCAGGTTCCTTGAGCAGCAAAAGCTGGTGCAGGCGCAAGCTGAGGCCCATACTCCGTCTGAGACTCAACATCCACAGCCATCCTCTGTGGCATATTCCATTGATAGATGAGTTTCGCTTTGCCTTGATTTTTGTTCCCCTTTTTTTTCACATTATTTCATTTTCTGTATTGAAGGAGGCGGCTTTGCTTCAGAGATGAAAGATCGCCTATCATACCTGTAACTTATTCATTTGTTTGTGTGGAAGAATACATTATTCATAGAACCATCAAAGTTCTGAAAAGAAAAAAAAGGAAAGCAAAGGAAATAAGGGCCAAGTTGTACTTTGACATGTATGTGAACTTGTACTGTTATAATATATGTTACGACTGTAATCATCCTCAATTTTTATATGATAGATGTTCGTAGTATTCAAGTGTAACGTTGTCAGCCTTGGTCGTTAGTGATATATATGTAACCAAAAAAGGGATGTCATGTGCTTGGTCAAGTGCAAACTTGTCAACCTTGAACTTCATTCTATGTTTTGCCACATTCATGTTCGTCGGTTTGCTCGAAGCAGCTATGTTCTTTTCCGACGCTTCGATTTAGGTTGGATTAGAACTTTATTTATAACATTCCTTTGGTAAATCGAAGACAAAAATGGAAACGTTGGATCTCAACAGAATCTTAAACTAATAAAATATAATAATTATCATTATGCTTAAATTCCAATAAATTCTTAAAAATTGCGATGGCAATTTAGAATTGCAAATATTATTTTTGGTATGATTCGTATTGTTTTGTCATTTATATTTAAAATTAGTGATTATCTTTTTAAAAAATATCGATTTAAAGATCCAGATCTGAATTATATTTTATGGTTATCACTATATTTAACCTCGGAACTTGGGACTGCCCTCTTCCTCTGAATATTATTCATCGTATCACAAATCCCCACCGAATAATCTCTCATTTCCCACCTAAATATGGTCAAATATCGTTCCTTTCTTCCTCACATTTTCGTCATCAAAGAGATTTTACTTGTTGTTTTCCTTAAATTTTCTATTTTCTATGTCCTAACTGACTATCATGAAGACAAAGACATGTTTGCTTTATTCGTTGTTGCATGAAAATGTCTCGGTTCTTGCAAAAAGCAAAGTGTCCCCAGTCTTTGAGTTCTAAATCTAATTCTATAATATTTTGTGTTTTGCTGTGTAATCATTATTAGTGGAAGATCTTGCACCTCGAGGACCTCATTTGAAGCTTACCCATATTGAAAAGAAAAGAAAAGAAAAGGAGGAGAAACGAAACAGATACACTTCTTTTGACCATCCCAAATACACAAAAAGAAAAAGAAAAAGAAATTACTATTATTCTTTCTATAAAGCTAGAATACTTGAATCAGCTTTGGTTGAACATGAAATTGCTTGTTTTTTAGCGGGAGATTTTAGGGTTTTCTTGGATTCTTTGTCTTAATTTGAAATCTTAGCTACCGTTAGCTTATGCTAGCAAAATTATTAATAAAAAGACAACAAGGGTTCATATAAAGCTACGTACAAACTTGATTTGATCGATAAAAACTTAGTAAAAATTGCGAAACTTATTGTTTTAGTTTAAGGCTTCAAGCTTTATCCATGCACATGCTTATATAAAAAGAATGAAAGATGGAATCAATATTGGACAATCAACAAAGTGCAAGATGCAACATGAAATATCGATCCTAAGCAGCTAAGCCAATAAACATGCCACATATATTTTTAATCTCAAATAGTAAACTGAAAAATTCATAAATTAGGACCGAAATCAAAGGGATTTACAAGTGCTTGCGTCTGTTAATGTATCGTGTCAATATCATGTTTCAATTTCACTCTGATAAAATGAATATTATGACTTCATCAACTTTTTTTTGAAATATATATATATATATATATATATATAGTACCATGATTTTATGCAGCTTACTTACATTGTTATTAGAATTTTTTCCTTCAATTTTCATGGTATTGCATCCATTGTAAAAATAGTAATGAAATAAGAAAAACAAAAAAGTTAACATAAAGGATATTCAAATTAAGAGGAATTAGGTTACATCATTCATGTCAGACAAAGAATCCCACGACTTCAAACACAGCAAACATAGAAACAAATCTGTAAACAAGCCCAAACAAGCAGAAAAACCGAACACATAATTTAAGAAAACCCAAAACTATATAGTATGAAACAACATTAATTCTACGAATATTTGTTGTTTCTTAGACAGGAAGATGATGATGATGAGGTTGCGAGATAAGTTCCACAACGAACATGCAATTTTACCATCCATTATTTAGCTTTCGATGTTGGAGACTTGAGGATCGTGAAGGACTCAGTGTGATAAAAGAACAATGCTACTTTATGTCAACTATCATCTGTTGTTAAAGCTGGAATGAAGGCGCTGAAGCATCAAGATCAGCTTTTAGCTGCTGTTTATCAAGAAAGATTGAAACTATAGCTATAAGAGATGATTACTTGAGACCTGATAAATCTGTCCAACTGTTGCCTCCCCAATACTGATTATTCGGATCCGAGATACCCAACAATGATCTTGATAGATTTAGCCCTTGACTGTTGTTTTCCATTTTCACTGGAGCTCGCTGAGAAACCCTAGAACTTGAACTCGTGGAACGAAGAAGCTGGGTTTCTCCCACCATCAAAGGTGATGCTTCCATATAGTCAGTCTGTAACGGATATAAACTATTAGTTGGCTCGAAGAACGGGAACTGCTGATGATTCCCTGATCCTACTGATAAAATAGCATTGCTCATGTCTGAGTTGGTTCCTATATGAATTCCCGTATCAGCTTGCCCAATAGCGCCACTCGTTCGCCCTATCTGGCCTTGAGTTCCACCATAGTTTAAGCCGACATTTCCTATACCATACTGATAAAAGCTTTGCAGTGACGCCATAAAAGGTAAATGAGGTGTTTGATGCGGCAGATGAGCAGTGATTTCAGAGGGAATAACATCATTGGTTGAATTTGGACCACTTTGCCTCTCGGAAGAAGCTGTGGGTTTTGAGCTACTACTCCTGTTTTTCTTCTTCTTGTTTCTTCGGCCGCTTCCACCCACAGGGACATTCCTAAGAGCCCCTCCTCTAGTCCAATACCGTCGACAAGTCTTGCAAAAGTGGCGTGGCTGTGTTAGGCTGTAGTTATTGAAGTAACAAAACTTGGTGTTGGTGGATTCACACCGTGGACATTTCAGAGGTGCTTCTGGTTGTGGAACCTTGAACTCCTGTTTTTCTTCTTCTTGTTTCTTCGGCCGCTTCCACCCACAGGGACATTCCTAAGAGCCCCTCCTCTAGTCCAATACCGTCGACAAGTCTTGCAAAAGTGGCGTGGCTGTGTTAGGCTGTAGTTATTGAAGTAACAAAACTTGGTGTTGGTGGATTCTGAAGCTCCAACATGATGATTAGGAGGAGTGCGAAGAGGTGGAAGCTGAGGATTTTCACTGCCAGCTACTAGTTGATGATTAAGCTGCTGAAAAACACAACAATGAAACCACTAGGTATATTCAGGAAAATATCTCAAAAGGGATACGAATATTAATCTTTTTTTCAATTAGCTTTATCTTGGGTGCATAAGCTGTGGATAGAAATTGATGAATAAAAAGAAAAGAGAAGAAAAAAAAACCCTTACCTGCTGCCAATTTGGAGGATCTAAATAAACTGAAACAGATGGGAAAACCATAGTTAATTTTTTGCTTTTTTTTTTTTTTACCAAAGGTTGATAGGTTCTTTAGCAAACACAAGGTGGAGAATCATAGAGGAGAATACCAGAGGTCAAGAAAGCAAAGAGAAAAGAGAATTAAAGAGATGGAGGTGGGGAGAAGGAGATGGTTTTTGTTTGTTTATTTATTTATTATTCCTTCATTATTCTCTCATCTCTCCTTTTTGTTTTATTATATTATTAGGGTTTCGAGTGGATGATGCTTTCTCTTCTCTAATAAGCTTCCTTTCTTCATTATTCTCTCATTTATTAAAGGTTTTAGTGCTCAAAAAGAGACCTATCCATACGAGTAAGAAAAGATTATCACCATTTAGTTTACTAAAAAAAGAAGACTATCACCATTTCATAGTTATATGATGGGATCGCCAAGAATAAATCTAAGATAAAAAATTGATTAAACTTTTGATATTTTTTATATCTATTTTGTATTTATATTCAGAATTACCATTCTAACAATATCATCTTTGAATTTAAATTCAAGAAATATAATTAGTCTCTCACTATAACCAACACTTGTTATTTCTTGGTAAAATTATATTATTATTTTTATATTCTTTAGGTTTAATTTGTTATTCATATTTTAGATTTAAACTATTTTTAATACTATTATTAGAATTTGACTTTTTATTAAAAATATATAATGTGCCCTTTTAAAGTTATTTTACATCATGAACATTCTGGTGAGGTTTTTAAATCTCATATAGAAATGAAAATGCACTTGATTTCGTTTAAGGAACCAAATTCTCAAATCATACTTATCTGTGTTTAATTACTTAAACATTGGCTAATAATATATTAATCTTTGATTACAGTTGTACATTCTCGAGTTCCCCCATGAACTTGCCCTTTTTCCTTGAAAACATGATCAACTCTTTAACAAAATGCCTTAATTATATATTTCATCTCTACTTTTGGGCAGCTTATGTTTATAAACAATAACATAAAAGCATTCATAATTAAGCACCGACACTTAACCTATTTCCCCTCGCCCTTGTTTAAGCTGTAGCTTGGCCAGTTTCAATAATTTTCTTCTCCAACAAGGAATCTCAGTTTCTTTACACTCGTCATATTTAGAAATGCAAAAACAAGACTCATGATTATATATATTATTACTCAAATATGAGCAAGGGTAGCCTGCCAAGGTAAACATCTAAAATGATCATTGCTTTATAGGTATAGTTCTTGAGTGGGATTATAGTTTATCTCCCACGTGCATGTAGTTTTGTTTGATTGCTATTAATTATTCAATCACTTTAGCTTTTTGTTTTTTATTTTTATTTTTTTGCTTTGCATGCATGTAGAAAGGTGCATTATTTGATCTAAAATGGAATTTGATGGCCCTGGAATCCAATTCCCTATCGAATTCTGAACAGACTACGCTCAATTTCCATACTCAAAAGCTGAGGCGAAGGCTTCCCCTTCTGTCCCACTGGTTTTATGGTTGGAAAGGAAGCAATTTTGCAGCTTTAACACATTTCCTCGTTAAAAAAATGCAAATCTGCGTATACATATATATACCTCAAGTATCTGAATTAATTAATCAAATCCTCCCTTTTATAACAGATGCAATCTATATGTACAAGTTTGATATTTCTTAAATGATTTTTGCAAGTGTTACGGATGATAAAACTAACATTAAGAAATCCTTACCCTTTCTTGAAGGTTTAAATTGATTGGAGTTTAGTATAATCCTAAACCATATATGAAATTGGAATTACTAGACACATATTAAAATAAAAATACTAGACACGAAATATTCGCACCAGTGGAGGATGAGGTCGTACGACAATGGGTTCCCACGGTGCAGAAAAGAGGGATATAGAACCTTATCTGCTCTGTCAAAACTCCAAAAACACTGAAATATATGTGGCAGCGCGTTTAGTTTTGGATTTCGACTCCTCGCAAAGACACCAGCTCCCTCCCTTTTTTGCACAAAGTAAATCGTAATCGAGAAAATAAAATAGATTGAACATTCCATTTCATTGACCGAAACTTTTACCTCATAATAATTGCACATGAAAAATCTGACAGCAAGAAGAAGATTCTACACTCAAACTATCACTTTTAAGGCAAACCGTCTTTTAGCTCCGAAAGAGAAGCCAAGATACATACAGTTCCCAGTGTTGTTGAAAGAGACGAGTTCTAGGGTTTTTGAACATACAGTAATGTAGAAAGATGCAATCTACAGATGATGAGGATCCTTGGTCTCCATTTGGTTAACTTTCCCCATAAACTCAGCTCCTATGTAGGTTTCAATGGTTGTGGATACATGCAGAAAACACTCTTGCAATCATTCATGGCTAAGGACGTCAGCCAAAAACATGGTCATTTTTTTTTGTATTTATCGGTTGGCTCAACTTTGTGTTTGAATTTGAGTCCAAAATCTTAATGATCTCCTTGGTTGAGCTTATAGTGGCCTGTCATATCATCTGTTTATAATTAGGTAATGAAAGTTGGGCTGGAATTGAGTATTTCATTCAAACTCCAATCTATTCCGAAAAAGTAAAAGGGACTATGAGGGGGAAGTCTGCTTTCCCCCACTCCCTACGCCTAAAGAAAACTAAGTTTCGGCTTTCTGCTTTTAACATCATTTGTCCCTACTTCTTTTCTTTCTTTCTTTCTTTCAAATAAAAACATCTTTTAAATTAAAATTATTCTCCTTACAAACTAAAATGGTAAAACTCAATCTATTTCTTATATGTTCATTTTGATTGAAAAGTAAAGACAGACCATGTGTATACTTGTTTTGATTGAAGACGCATAAACAATAATAACCCAAATTGCATATATTTATTAAACTAGCAAAAGCAGAAAAGCCCAGCTTTAATCACAACATTGCTAAACAAAAAATTGCATTCTTCAAACCCATTCAGCTGCTAACATTAGAATGCGACTTTGGGATTCAACTGATCAATTAGTTTTATCAAATCAACCTTGCACTCCGAATCTTATAACGAAATTTAAGATTCCTTTGAGTGGCCTCAATGACAAAAAAATGTTATTTTTCTCATAAGCATTGGATTCAAATAGTTGTATCTAAAGACGGAATATGTGTTGTCAATGATTAATAAAAAATTTCAAACATATATTACCTTGTAATCTTGTAAACGGATAGTCAAAATTGTTCACTTTCCGATCCTATGACGCAGTCAAAAGATCATTACCAACTGTTATTAAGATCGATTTACATCTAGAACAAGGTGCATGGTTAATGTTAAGCACATTTTTGATAGAGGTCAACCATACGAGTCAAAGTCTATACCTTTTATGTAAACTTTTCTTCTACTTGTTCTTCTCAACGTCATTAATGTTCCTATTTGCAACACCAAAAAGATTTCTAAACAATCAATGAAAATGCATTAATAGTGCACAAATCAGAGTAGCAAAAAGAATAATCCATCAACTGTGTGAGAGCTGGGTCAATTATTTCAGTTTGTGTAGCCCATAACAATAGCCTTTATGGGCTACACTGATATTATTAATCTGATACATTTGATTTTACACATGATATTTATTTTAATTTTAGACCTTAAAATCTAAAATTTGAACTCAAAAAATAAATATTTCTACAGAATTTAAAATCAATCCATTCATTTTTTATAGACTATCGTACCATTCAAATCATAAATGGGTAATCCTTATTATGATTAAATGGTTTGCCCAGCTTAGGTGAACGAGAAAATGGTGTTTGAAAAAGATGATATATCAAATTAATGAGTCCAAGTGCATCCCAATTGCCCATTCTCGAAAACGATTCCTTCTGCTTTGTTTTCTTTCGTATTTAAACTTATCTTTATACGGTTTGTTTTCAACTGTTTCTTAAACATTGATATATCAACTACCTAATACCATATGCTTCAAAGGATGGTTACTTTCATAATATCCGGCCTATATATTACAGCTTCAACTTGGTTTAAGTTTATACTTAAATTATAATTTATTTTAATTTATTTAGATTTTTAAACATACCCTTTTCTTGTTCAAACTTATATTGTTAGTGGTATGAAAAGAAAATAAGATTTATAATAATTCACTCTTATTAATTTGGTAATCAAAATAGATCATTCTTAATAGTTCAATTTAAAAATATACTTGTATATGAATTACTAGAATTCTTAGTCCTTATCCTGAAAGTACTTTCATCGGTAAGCTCAAGAACTAGGTTTTTCTATAGGGAAATATTATGGGTAGGAAAAGAATTAGAGAAATACGATTGATGATAAATTATTTAAGGATATGTGGTATTTATTATAGTAAATTAAGAACTTATCATACGAGTAGGATGAGTTTTGTAAAATATATTTTCTAGGGTAAAGTACACAAATGATCACTCGACTATAGAATACTGCTTTGTTGAGTTCATCGATTATTAAAAACTATAAAATAGTCCCTAAACTATAGAGAGTTGCTTTGTTGAGTCCTTCAATTATTAAAAGTTACAAAATGATTACCCGACTATTTATTATGTTCCAAAATCATCCTTTTCCGTTAAAAAAATTAACAATCGCCTGAGTTGGACGTTAATATGTTGATTGAGATATGATAATCGTTTGCGATTATGAGAACAAATTTTATCATATCTCAATAAGCATATTGAGATCCAGCTCAGACTATCGTTAAATTTTTAATGAAAAAAGATGAGTTCGAAACATAATTAATAGTCGGGTGATCATTTTATAACTATTAATAGTCGAGAGACTCAACAAAACAACTCCACCATTTTGTAACTTTTAACAATTAGGAGACTCAACAAAATAACATTCTATAATCAATGGACCATTTATGTACTTTATCATATTTTTATTGGAACTTGTCAAGTAGATTTAATGAGTTTCATAAAAATATAATTTTTTTATTAAAACTTATCAAATCCTTACTATGAATCCTAATAAAAATTTATATTTTGTAGAACTCATCATATTAATGAGAAGTTTTTAATTCACTGTAACAAATGTTGTAATTCCCTAAATAATTTCTCACCAATCGACCGTATGTATACCCTAAAATAATTTTAGAGCGTGGATTATTATGCTAAATTTGCCCAACAACTATGATGAATTTGTTAAAGGAAATCACGGATCACCGTTATTAAATCACAATTATATATATACCTGTAGCGACAGCCGTTTTAGTTTGATGATGGAACAGCCAAAGCTAAGATGGCCGTAGCTTGTCAGAATACAATCATCAT